GCTTCACATGTTGGGAGGGATGAAACATTCAATAATGTGAAGGTATATTTCATATTTGCAGTTTTTAAAAAGAGTAGATAATCAAAATATATCAAACAAGAAACAGATGGAAACAAAGACAATTTTCAAAATACCTTGATTTTTGTGTCTTGGCTCTAAAGAAAAATAAGATAACATTTTAATCATAGATCAATATAATTAGTTCAAAAATTAGTATTCTGGGGGAAAGGCCCACTAACTACTGACCCACATGTTTAGTTTATGAAATTATATCCAAAAGAATGTTAGTCAGGTGAGAACTCTAATAAGAGGCATCCTTCAATAGCGATGATCAAAATTCCCCCACCCTGGGCCGGCCCGGTGGCGCACTGGATAGTGCGCCGCTTGGGAAGCGCGGTGGCGCTCCCGCCCGAGGGTTCGGATCCCATATACAGACCGGCTCCCGCTCACTGGCGGAGCGAGGTGTGGGAGCAACACCGAGGCTTGCGATCCCGTTGCTGGTCCCTGGTCAGGTACGGGGGCAACACTGAGGGTTGCGACCCGTTGCCGGACACGGAAAAAAGACAAAAAGACAAAAAAAAAAAAAAAAATTCCCCCACCCTTTTTTTTGCATCTGGCCAGTACAGGGATCCAAACCCCCAAATTTCTTAAACTGAAGGGACACTTTCCAAAATCATAGCTCCTTGAACTGAAAACTGGAATCTTTAAAAATCTGCTTGGAAGAGTGCATTCACACAAGGAGAGTCACCAGCACAGTCAAAGAAAAGAAGAGGATGTCTCTTTCCACAAAGCCCATTTCAGAGTGACAGAAGCAGCATCTGCTCTATGATAATATTGGGGGACCCGATCACATCTCTCAGTATTGGACAGATCATCTAGGCAACAAATTAACAGAGCAACCATGATTCTTTCAGAAGGAGAGAAGAAATCTAGGGTTATTAGAGGGGGCGGGGGAGGGAATGGGGAAGGGGAGAGATTGGACAAGGGGCATAAAGAATAACAATACATATGCTAGTAATATTGATTTGATCAACATATCTCAATGTTCAACCCCCAAAATGTGTATAATCGATTTTGATTCAATAAATAAAATTTAAAAAAATCTGCTTGGAAGAAAGATTTGAGCTTCTTGTTGGGGAATTTGTAAGGACATTCCAATTCTACTTGTAATCTTCCACCTAGCCTGATTATATGTCACTATAATTTGATAAGTAGTCTAATTAATCAAAAGAAAATATCCAATTAATTTTTGTGATTTCTTTGTAATTTTTTTCTATGACTTTCTCCCTCACAAATTAGTCCTCCTAGTTATTTTTAATCAGTAGCCAGAGTGCATACTGCTTTAAATGGAATAGATATGTTCATGTGCATATGACCTCATGAATTCTTAGCCTTAATTTCACAATGAAAACTTTGCTTTAAAAGTGTGAGATTTAATTACCAGCAACTATTTTGAAAACAGATAACAACAACATTGATTGTATTCCATACACTACAGTTTAGGTGGTAATGATCAAGTTTGATACTTAATTTTTACAATCCTTTCTCTTTTAAAGGTCACAGTTTTCAGGCCTTTTAATGAAAAAGAAAAGCAATTGACTAAAGATTAAAATAGCTATTTAATGAAAAAGAAAAGCAATTGACTAAAGATTAAATTGAGTTTAAAAAAATTATTTAAGGGTATAAATTCCCTTGAATAAAAATGTGAAGGGCAGAGTGGGGGCATATTTGAAAATTAAACTCTAGGCACTTTCTGGGAGTTGACACCCATTACTGTAAAAGTGGGCTGAAACACATTAAGACTAAGAAATCAATAACAACTAACTCTAGTTTCTAGTTTCAGATGCACTTCTGTAATTTCTGAAGAGTAATTAATAAATCAAAGTCACTAAGGAAAACTATAACAGAATGTTTAAAGTATCTTATTTGTGCCTCAGTGTCCAAAGAGTATCCTAACCAATCTGGCTTAAAATTTCCAACTCAAGCTATTTAATAGGGTACGTATGTTTCAAATTAAACTGAATAAAATTAATAGAATTAAAAGTGATAGGAAAGGGTGATACAGACCATAAAGTTGTTATTAATTCAAAGGCTATGAGGAGAAAGCGATACTCAGGGATTCCTTTCTGTTTCCCATTTCATTAATTGTTTTTATTATGCTAGACACTATACCTTTCTAGAAATTGAAGAAGAAAAATGAAAATATCTGTATCTACCCAGAAATCCATCTGAATTGCCACAGAGACTCAGCATTGTACCAAGAAAGTCGAAATTTCATTAGTTTGAAAAAATCCAGATTTCCCAGATCACCCCCCACCCCCTACAAGAAACGCTCCAAACCAAATTCTCCTTTGTCACAATGTATTCATTCATCAAAGTATTTATTTACAGAACACTTTTATGTTTGATAAGGTATGATACCTATTCTCAAGGTACTCAGAATCTAGCTGAGGACACAGACAGAAACAGATTTTCAATAATGTAAGACAGGGCCGGCCCGTGGCTCACTAGGGAGAGTGTGGTGCCAATAACACCAAGGCCGTGGGTTTGGATCCCTATATAGGCATGGCCGGTTAGCTCACTTGGAGAGCGTGGTGCTGACAACACCAGGTCAAGGGTTAAGATCCCCTTACCGGTCATCTTTAAAAAAAAAAAAAAAGTAATAATAATAATAATAATAATGTAAGATAATACACAGCCTCTCAATCAAATGTCTGCACATTTTATAAATGTGACATAAAGGTAAATTAACATGTTTTAACAAGAAGAAGGAACAGTATTAACCAAAGGTTGGTTGCCTTAAACATTTGTGACTTTAAACTGCCCACTTCTAGTGGCGATGCATACATTCTGTTGTTACTAACAGCAGAAAGGCACATGTTTCAGTGGGCCTCTCTGTAATTTAGCTCCCCAGAAAGAGTGGGTTGGATAAAAAGCAGCTTAAGAAACTTGAACTGGGCCCTAACGTGGGATTTGATGATGAAGGAAAGAAAGGAAAAAGCATACAAGAGGCAGCAGCAAAATGGGTAGGGAATAGACTCTATTCACTAGAGCCTTAGAGATGGAAATCAACACAGCATTTATTGCACAATTATTATGTGTCAGGTATTATGTTAAGTACTGCATATACACATTATCTCACTTAATCATCACACAAGGGTATGAGGTAGGTAATATTATCCCTATTTTACTAATGAGAAAACTGAAACAGGTCCTAGGGGCCAGTAATCCAGTATGGAAACTGGAGCAGAGGGTCTCTAAATCAGCAATAGGTGATAAAGTTAGAACACAGAGAAACTAGGCAACTTTATCTCAAAAAAACCTCAAAACCCTCAAGTTAAAGAGAGAGATTTCTGACTAAAGCTCAGGGTTTAAAGTCACAGTGAAGGGCTGGCCAGGTAGCTCAGTTGGTCAAAGAGGAGTGTTAATAACACCAAGGTCAAGGGTTCGGATTCCCATACTGGCCAGCTGCCAAAAAAAAAAAAAAAAAAAAAAAAAAAAAATCACAGTGAACAAAATGAAGTTACAAATTAGTAGAAATAATACATTTCTGTAT